CTATACTATTTCACGTGCATTGCACGTGCGTCTTACTAGTTTTATTAAAAGAATGTTTAATTAAAAATAAATTTTTAAAAATGAATTTTTTGATAATGGGGTGAAACATGCTCTATAAACAATCATGCTAGTGTATCATATTGTTGACAAAATGTCATGTGATATGTTGTTATTGGACAATTTAAAAAGGGTTATTCCCACAAAACGTCCTTACGTTTGGAGTTCATTGTTAAAAAAGTCGATACGTTTCATTTTTTTGTATTCTCACCCATATTTTTACCTTTTATTGCACAACTCATAATTTTCATTCAATTTTTCAATTAAAAAAATGTGAAATGATAAATATATCCTCCTATTTAAATTAAAAAAATAAATAAAAAATTAATTACAACCATACTCTCAATTTCTTTTAAAAAAATATGGAAACAAATTCCAAATAAATTATTTAAAAAAATAAAAAATAAAAAATTCTCCAACTCCTCCTCCACTACCATCACCAAGAATCAGTCATTTTCAAACTCTTCCTTCTAGTCAAACTATCGAATCCCAGTTGAAGTGCTGCCAAAATATATGCATCAATTGCCACAATCAAAACTCCAGATCTAGCAGTCAAGTAAAACCAGCAAAAACCAAAATCTCCATCTTCTACATTTCTGGTAATTCCCCAGTTACTCTTTGTAATTCCTGAAGAGCAAGAAATTGGGACAATGAGTGGTCCAAATCAATGGTCTTTTTCTCAAATTTGCCAAAATGTCATCAAGAAATGCATTGCATTTGACTGAGTTTTTCTTCCAACTGGACCAAAAGACTCCTTGTGTGATGGGTTTTGAGTCTCTTGGTGGGTTGAAAAAAATGGGCATGGAATCTTCATGAAAAGTGGTTGTAGTAGGAGAAAGAAGAGAAGCCATGGTGGGGAGAAAAAATGGGTATAGGCAGGGCCGGCCCGGAGTGTTTTGAGGCTCTAGACGACTAACTATTATGAGGCCCCTAAATATATTTTTTTACAAGCGTAAAAATACTTAAATATTTAAATAAATAACATATATAGTAATTTCCTAAGTTAATCCAAGAACACTTCAATTCATGAATCTCAACTTTATGCTACCTTATTTGCCTGCTTAGGTTACAATGACAACATAGTAAAACAAAAAGAATGCTTATGGTCAAACGATATTCGAGTCGAATCTGTTTCACTTGCAAATCATAGCCAGTTACACCAATGACCTTAACTCCACTTCAAACAAGATAACAATAGACAAATTAAAGCATTATCAAAAGATTTACGAGTTAACATTCATCTGTTCCCTAGAAACTTTAATTGATAAACATGGTAGCATCTCCAATTTGAGACAAGATTCTCCAAAATTCAGATAATTCAAGGACAGAGCTGCCATGTTTCCAACATTTTCAACTTTTATTCACATAAACGCTTTCAACCCAAAACCAAAAGTACAAAAAATATTAAAAGATTCAAGAACAAAACATCTCATCATAAATACATATTTTGAAAAAAAAAAACAATAATATAAAATCTTACATGGGCTCAATTTTTTTGACATTTTTGAAAGCCATCAATAGAATCAAGAACTTCTTGTTTGAATAAAGGAGCCAATCAGTTTCTCAAAAGTGAAGGTAAATGCAACAACTGTGTGTGGGAATTAGTAGATTTTCTAGTGGTGATATGAGAGCATCGCCTTCACTAGCTCTTGAGTTCTTTTTCCTCTAACCCTAAGGTAACAAATGATTTTTTTTCAAGGATTTTGTGGATTTTGAACTAGGGCAGGTTTGGGTTGAATTTGTTTTTTTTTTAATGAGGCCTTCAAGATCTTGAGGCCCAAGGCAGTGGCCTTGTTTGCCTTGTGCCAGGTCCGGGCCTGCGTATAGAACCTTGATGGAGATAAACCCCGCACAACACCCTTCTTTAAACCTGAAAAGAACCCTGGTTTTTTCTGCATATTCCAACCCTGAAACTCATAAATATAACGCTCGTAATTATTGCATTTCTGTTGGGCGTGTATTTATTGTGATATGATTTGCTGGAATTATTGCAATTATGTTGAGTTCAACTACCATATGCTTTGAATTGCTGCTTCACTGAGGAAGAACTTTCTTGTTGCACATTACCTATTCGAGATTTTGTTTCTCTGAAAAAAATTGTTTTGTACATTGAATTTTATTGTTGCAATTTCACAATTAGGAATTGGTTGTCATATTTGTCTATTGTGCTTTTCAACTTGGGGAGGAGGACGCAGAGGAAATGAGTAAAAAGTTTCATTACACACTGAACTTTGCATGTTGTCACATTATGGTCACTATACTTTGATATGCTTTTTATTGGTCATTGAACTAATTAGAAATTCCTTCCATCCATCACTCCACAAACAACCGTTTCAATGGCATCTAATGTGGCATGACAACGTCCTCCTTGTCAACAGACGGTGTTATGTTCTTGCCACATGGAGAATCATTGTTGCAAAAATCCGATTTCATCAGTTGGAAATGCACACATAAACGCGAAGGAGGAAATCCCCAAATCTCTTCTTGGAACGAACCCTAGTTTTCGATTCACACAAATTGCTTCTCTTCCAATTTTGAAAATCCCCGCAACATATGATTTCCAATCCCTAATCGCCCATCCCTCCATCATGCCTCATATTGTGCTTGAAGCAACCGCAGACTATGGTTTCATCGGGTAAGTCGCCTACAAGTGATTGTAATAATGCTGAGTTTGATTGTGATATGTTGACAGTTTTGATTGAGAAGAATGATTTTTTATTCTAAAGATTGCAATTCCCATCTAGATAGGGATTGCAATGTATGATACCAATTAGAGAAACACAGCGATCAAATTAGAAATCCAAATTGTTTGTTATTTCACAATTTTTTATTAAGAAAATGAATGAAAATAAATGAAAATGATGATTTCCATGATGAACTATGGAAATAGTGGATGAAAATGTGAAAAAAAATTATATGAATGGACGTTTTGCACAATGAACTTCAAATATGAGGACGTTTTGTGCAAATAATTTAAAAAAACAATTTATTTTTCCAACCAATACTTTTTTATCTAGGGATATAAACGAGTCGAACCGAAACTTGTGGCTCGAACTTAACTCGAGTAAAAAATGATTCGAGCTTTTTTTGCTCGGCTCGAGCCGAACAAAAGTTAGACTAAAAAATTAGGTTAGGCTCAAACTTTTGGCTTGGGACTTATTGAGCCAAGTCAGCTCGTTTTAATTTATTTTATTTTTAACAGCTCGTCTCTCCCTCAAATTCCTTGAACCTCTTGATTTTATAGTTTGGTTGGACAACCGCAACCCCTCACTACCCCACTAGGTGAATATATATTTTTATTTTAAGTACCGAAAATACTTAGTTTAGCGGTAAGTCATACTTTGTCAATAAAATAAGTAGCTTAATTATTTCGATCATAAAGAAAAGTATTTATTTGAAATGCCTTTACGCATATAGGTAAGCTCTTGGTTAGTAATTTTTTAAAGATTTTTAGATAATTAAACTTATTTTTAACTATACATTTTATTGTATTCACAATTTTTATTCATTATTAATCATAAATTTCAAAGGACTCAACATTTTATAATCTCAAATAACGTAGTCAAACATGAGATAAATTTACTTAGCCACATTAAGTGGGTGTTTGGTGGGGATTAAAATTAAATTTTTAGTAAATTGTGATAGAAATTTTTGAAATGTGTGGTTGAAAAGGTGTAGGACTCATGAAAGATGTGATTAATATTGATTGTTTGACTTTAATTTAAATTCGAAACAAACTTGGCCTTAATTATAATTCCCCTCTCTCTCTTATTATCAACCACGCATCATCCAATAAAATAATATTATACGTAAATCCAAAAAAAATTCATTCTTTTAATCGCAAATTCTCTAAAAAATTATTTCATCTCATTATAATGTGGAATAATATGGGCAAAAAAGGCGCTTGTAAGCGTACTTTTCAAGTTTAGGTAAACATCATGTTGCAAAGGCAGCTATAGCAGGCATAAACAGTAGGCAACTTTTTTCAAATAATACGAGCCATTTTGGCCCGTGTTTGCGTGGCTCATCATGCACCAAAATGGTATGTGACATGGGGCGATGTTAAAAAATGAGGCTCGATTTGAGTCTCGGCTCAATTCCTCCAAGCCGCAAGTTAGGTCGGCTCGAGCTATAGGACCCACTGGAGTCGGTGAATCAAATTGACATTCTTATTTTGGACACCTACAACAACAATGTTGTAAAAAAATATTGTACAAATAGATCAAGTCCACGTTTGATAGAGATTAAAATCAGATTTTTAATAAATTTTGATAAAAGTTAATGAAATGTATGATTAAAAATTGTGAATCTCATAAAATGTGTGATTAAAATTAATTGTTGAATTTGAGTTAAAATTTTAATTGAATTTTAATCCAAATCAAACGCTATATAAAATTACCCTCCTTTTGACCCCAGAATTACTCCTATAAATTTCATTATTGTAAATTAAGCTCCCTAATTCACAAGTAACATTTCAAAATTCTTTTATTTTTCTACTCTTTTTTAATTATATATTACATAATAAAATATTTTACACGTAACTATATATAAAAAAAAAAATCTACCTTTTAATAGTACATTATCCAAAAAAATTAAGGTTGAAAACTCATTTTTTTTCTCAAACGTGGCTAAACTAGCATGGAGCGTTTAAAACCGTAATTATAAACTCCTCGTGAAGATGATATGCCACGTGTCGACCTCTCAACCCTCCATTTACAATTTTCCGCTTTTCATACAAAAAAAAAATAAAATAAAATTCTCGTCTCAATTTCGTACGAAGAACAGCACTCCGCTGTTATTATCTAGTTTAGAGAGAGAAACGCCGCTCTCGAGTGAGAGAAAATTGGTGGGATTCAGATTTGTTGAGGCATAAATTTTCTATGTAGAGCTGGAGTGAATCTAATATAGAGTGCTGCCTTGGAATTTCCGGTGAAAAACTGACAATGGCAATCGGCGCCGTCATTTCGCACCGGAATTTCGGTTCTTTCACCGGCTCAGGTGGATACTTACCAACTATTATGATTCTATTCACTTGAATTTACAGGGCGTGTGACTGTGTGAACTGTGTCAGATATATTATATATGTAATGGCGGAGCATGCACATAGTAGTAAATTTTGGTTATATCAAAATTTGGATTTTTTTTTCAAGAAATTGATGTTCAGCTTTTGTCTCTGATTATAAGAAGTTGAAAGTAATTTTATAAATTTATAAAATTTGGTACATTAAATGTATACAGCATTTGATCTACACTGTTTGAGCTGAAAAAATAGCGCAGACTATTTTGTTTGATAATGCTAAAATCTTATGTAATTCAGCTTTCTTTTTAAATTTTTTAATGCTCGAGGGCTCTGTAATATATTTTTGGGAAGGAATTTGATGCTAACATATGTCTACTATAGAGAGGTATAAGTTCCGTATTAGCACTGCAGCGAAAGGTTTCAGAGTTTATTCATGGCTTCCCACCAGAATAATTTATTAGTTGTGGAATGCTCTGCTTGTCTAAAGTTATTAGCATATTGGGATGGGTTCAAACTGTACTCGAGGAGGAGGAATTTAATAGTCTGATCTTCCTGGGGATTCATCACTGACTAGGGCTTTCGAATCAAAACATGTCTAAAGTTATTACCATATACATTAAGAAATTTCTCTGGGTTAGCATGTGAAATTTACTCCAAGACAGAGAGGAAATCATCCACAAATTCAGAGAGAAAACACAGATGAAGATGAACTTTCTACTCATTTATTAAAGCATGAAACAACGGTTTATATATACACCCATATGTACAATAACAGACCTAATGACCTACTGTATAAATGACGGCTCAGCAGCTCTAACCACTTTAACCGAACTTTGGCTAAGTACATAAATACCCTTACTAATGCTACTCCCTCTGCAAGACTCCCCCTCAAGATGGCTGGTGGATCTTAAGAAGGACACCCATCTTGGCTAACAACATCTGAAATCTGCCTTCGTCAATAAGTCTGCTAGTTGGGTTTGCGTGGATAGATGCATGGTCTTTATGTCACCAGATTGCACTCTTTCCCTTGCTAGATGGCAATCTAATTCTATATGTTTTGTCCTTTCATGAAAGACTGGGTTGCTACAGCCTGATTATCACAGAACACAAGAGTAGCCTTAGGATGATAAACTCCTATATTAGTAAGCACTTTCTCAAGCCAAATTATCTCACAAACTGCTGCAACCATGGTTCTATATTTTGCTTCAGCTGACGACCTTGAGATGTTGTGTTGTTTCTTGAACGCCAAGATATTGAAGAACTTTCAAGAAATATGCAAAAGCCCATAACTGATCTTCTGGTATCTGCAAATGATGCCTAATTTGCATCGCAAAAACCTTGGAGCTCAAGGCTAAAACCTGCAGCAACAAATAGTCACTGCCCTGGTGTTCCTTTCACATTTCTGAGCACATGGTGTGCTGCCTCTAAATGAGGCTTTCTAGGGAATTCTAGAAACTGACTTAGAACTTGTACTGAGAATGACATATTTGGCCTTGTGATAGTTAAGTATAGCAACCTTCCAATTAGCCTCCTGTACACACCTGGATCATCAAGTAACTCCCCCTCATCTTTAGTCAACTTTAGGTTCTACAACATAGGGCATTTGACAGGCTTTGATCCCAAGTAACTAGCATCTTCAAGGACTTCCAATGCATACTTACGTTGACATACATCAATGCCTTTTGAAGACATTGCCACCTCAAGTCCTAGAAAGTATTTTAGAACCCCTAAATCCTTCAACTTGATTTGGCTGTCAAGACTCCTTTTGAATTGTTCAATATATGCTAAATCATCCCTCCTATGATAATATCATCAACATAAATGAGGAGTATAGTATATGAGCAACTATTTCTCTTGTTGAAAAGAGAATAATCAGATTTGAATTGAACAGATCCTTAAGAAATGATAAAAGATGAAAGTTTAGTATTCCATTGCCTTGAGGCTTGTTTGAGTTCATAGTTGGATTTGTTGAGCTTACAAACTAATGTCACACCATGCCCCCCTTGCTGCTTATATCCTGGAAGTATTTTCATAAATACCTCTTCCTCAAGGTCCACAAGAAGAAAAGCATTGTTGATGTCAGTTTTTGCTAGTTGCTACAGCCAACAAGGCTTTGACTGAAGCTAATTTTGCTACTGGGGAAAATGTTTCCTGGTAATCAAGACCAACTTGTTGAGTAAAGCCCGTGGCCACAAGTCTGGCTTTCTTCCTTTCTTGAGTCCCATCTTGATTAAGTTTAACCTTGTAAACCCATTTGTAATCCACAAGTTTCTTATTTGCAAGGACATGAGTGATGGTCCAAGTGTTGTTGGCAACTAAAACTTGGAATTCATTGTCCATATCTTGACACCAAGTTGGTGATTGAGATGCTTCCACAATGTTTCTGGGCTCAACATTAGTGGAAAGTGATAGCACATAAACTCTGTGTTCCGGTGAAAGAGAATCATAGCCCAAAGTGGTGGATAATTTGTAAGACTTGCCAGCTTCAGCCATGGAAACATGTAGTGCAAAATTTTGCTCGGAAACTATGTTGAAGTGAAATTGTTGTAACTTGTTCGGGAGGTCTCCTAGATCTAGTAGATCTACAGAGAAGGTTGGTATGTAATTGTGGAGGTGAAGATGAAGATATGGATGAAGGTGAGGATGGAGATATAGATGCAGGTATAGGAGAAGATGAAGTTATTGGTAAGTGTGGATGTGGTTGTGATGTTGAAAGAGAAGTAGATGTCAGTAATTCTGATATGAGAGGATATGAAGAAGGAAAGAGAGGGATATGTAAAGATTGAGTGGAATATGTACCAGAATAACCAAGGGAAGCTAGAAATGTAGGATCATGAAATGGAAATATTTTCGTGAAAGATGACATCTCTAGACACAAAGATAGCATTGGTGTACAGATTATAGAACTTATATCCCTTCTGAGCAGGTGGATATTCAACGAAGATATGGGGGATAACACGAGGATCAAATTTTGATCTATGTCTTTGAAAAGTAAAAGCATAGCATAGAGAGCTAAACACTCTCAAGTGAGAATATGTAGGTTTTACTGAAAATAGGATCTCATAGGTTGATTTTCTGATAAGGATGAACTAGGTATGTGATTGATAAGATAGGTGGTTGTAAGAATGCATTCTCCCCAAACCTGATTTGGAGTTTAGCTTGAAATTTTAATGCTCTAGCAACATTGAACAAATGTTGGTGTTTATGTTCTACAATGCTATTTTGATGTGGTATCTCGACACTACTAATTTGATGTACGATGCCTTTGGAATTATAGAAATCTATCATGGCAAATTTAGCACCATTATCAGATCTTACAACTTTGATTTTGGTATTGAATTGAGGTTCAACCATATCATATGGAAAAAGGCTTGAATAAGTTATTTGGTTTATGATTTGTTTCTCATTAGAAATGTCCAAGTGGACTTGCTATAGTCATCTACTATAGTTAAAAAATACTGTAAACTATCAAGAGATTGAGCTTGATAGGGACCCCAAATATTGTAGTGAATGAGCTCAAAAATTGAATGAGAAACATGCACATTATCAGGAAAAGGTAAGCGATGTTGCTTTGCCATATGACAAATATTACAATGAAAGTCAGAATTTGATACAATTTCAAGTACAAACTTGTGTAAAATGGAGACTCTAGAATGAGGAACATGTCCTAACCTATAGTACCACAATTCAAAAGGCAAACCAGTGGCAGCATAAAGCTAGGAATATAGTCATTGTTCATGACTTTATTATAACCAGTATTTACAAGCACAAAAGAATTTGCATGGGATTGATGAGGTATAGATTTTGTAGAGCAGGTAGCATTTGAGAGACCATTGCTTGAAGGAGTACTGAGCTGGAAGTGGTATGAGCCGACTTCAAGCTTCTCCACTCCTTGAATAGGAATATTGAGCAACAATGATGAGAAAAAATAAGTTTGCTAGCAGATATCAAGTTACATTTGAATGAATAAATATACAACACATTGGTCAAGGAAAGGGTTTCAGACTTCACCATTCCTATGTGAGTCACAAGAGCAACATCTCCATTAGGAAGTTTAACATTGGCATTTATCATAGCAGTAATATTGGTTAAGTGATTAATAGAGCACACCATGTGATCTGTGGCACCAGTGTCAATATCAATTTATCCTTTATGTTAGAAATAGCTAAACAGAAATTGTTACCTGAAAAAGCTGAGGCATCGGCATGGTTGGTACTTGTGGTGAAGTGAATTGCATGCCACCAAGTGGGCTAATAGCTCGATTGGCTTGACTCTGATCTGCAGCAATACCAGAATGAAGAGCCAGATTTGAGTTTGAAGCTGTGGTTTTAGTATATTGAGGACCTGCTAACATTTCTCTGGTGTGATACTTAAATTGGAGAACACATTGGACACGTTTGGAGGGGTATTAAGTCCAGTCACTTGATTAGCACTTGGAGTGGATTCCTTGCCTTTGTCTTTTGCCAACCTATAGCCCGAGGGATATCCATAAAGCTTGTAGCACTTTCCTTGTAAATGGCCAAGCATACTACAATTGCACTTAGGTGTGTCCTTCTTGAAACTTTGATTGTTATACATAGGTTTTTGGCTACCACCAGAATTCATTGAACCAGCCATCAGCCTACTCACAAATGCAGTAGCTTCGACATTATTTTGGTTCTTAGACGCTACATCCTGTTGAACTAATGCAAACACCTTGTTCAATGGAGGCTAAGGCTTCATCATCAAATCTGGCTATGCACATTAGAATAGCAGTCATCTAATCCCATTAAGAACATCAAAATCCATTCCTCTTCATAATAAGAATTGTGATTCTAAGGCCTATTGTTTGACAACTCTTCCTACAAGCCTTTCAACCTATTAAAATAGGCACTCACAGAACCATTCCCTTGTGAGATCGAAACAATCAACTTCTTTAACTGTTAAATCCTAGGTCCATTGCCTATCTATCCTTTAATTTTAGCTAGATTTGACGCGCCGAGTCCTTGTGCATAACACTAGGATATAACTCCTTAGGAATTGAATTTATGATCCATGAAGAGACAATATGATTACACCTACGCCAAGTCGCATACAGAGGTGAATCTAAAGGAGGTTTAGGTATAGAACAGTCAATGAAACCTTCCTTATTTTTCACACTCAGTGCCATTCCTATAGCACGGCTCCATATCGAGTAATTCTCATCAGTAAGTACAACAGAAACAATCTGCATACCTATGTTATCTACATAGTGCATGTAATAAGGATTCGAAAGATTTGTTACCATTCGATGAGCAACAACATCAACTGGATCTTTACCGTGATGAGCATTCGGTGAAGGATTGTCAGTAGAGCCTTCATCTCTAGTCTCTGAGTTGGCAGCCATGAATGGAAGCTCCGATATGCTCTGATACCATGTGAAATTTACTCCAAGACAAAGAGGAAATCATCCACAAATTCAGAGAGAACACAGATGAAGATGAAATTTCTACTCATTTATTAAAGGATGAAACAATGGTTTATATATTCATCCATATGTACAATAACAGACCTAACTATATAAATGACAGCTCAGTAGCTTTAACCACTTTAATCGAACTTTGGCAAAGTAAATAAATACCCTTGCTAATGCTGCTCACTCTGCAAGATACTAGGTTAAATATGCTTTTCTTCATTTCTCTTTCAATAATGCACATGAATCATGTTTGGTTAAAATGTATTCATTGTTGTTGTTATGGATTTTGTTCCTCGTTTCCTGTGCTTTTGGGTCTGTTCAAGATTGAAACTATAAGACTTTGCACAATATTCTTGTAGGTTATATGTAAATGTAGTTCAAATAATGCAAGAATATCAATTCAATTATCATTTATTTCCAGAATATGGAGAAAATAAACTTATTTCTTGGTTTTTAGTTAACTTTGAAGTAATTTGGGCAAGAGAAATTTAGAATTATGGGCTATAAAAATTTATACACGTAAATTCATGCTTACTACATTACTGTGATCTGATCTAGTCCTTAACCAAAAATTGGAGTGAACACTTCACCGAGTGCTTGCTTTTCCTCGTGCAAATGTTATTGCCATCAAATATTAGAGATTCTTTATCTTTTCTTGTTTCTTTCTTTCTTTTTTGAAAATTTTGAAAATACAAATCCATCCAATAATGCAAAAGGCTGGCCTGACAGGTAATGAGTACAATGTTTCCACTTAACTCAATCTTAAAGGTTATTAGAAAATCTGGAATGTTGCAAAATTTTAGGAGACCAATTCAAGCATTTGATCCTTTCAATCTTCATTACTTGCACACTTTTAGGCTGCAATAATATGTTCCTATCTTATTTGCTTGTGTTACCAGGAAGAGTATGTCACGGAGAAGCAGCTACAATGCATCAAAGAGGAGAGCCCTCGGGTTTTTCTTCTGCACAATGTGTAAATAAGAAAATGTTTTACAGCAAGCTATATCTTCCAAGAGGAAGCTTTTCATTACCTGGATACACATATAACTCATCTCTCCACACTACCGGTCGCTCAAAGAGTAAATTTTTTAGATCAAAATCGACATCGCATATTGAAGCAGATTTCTTCTCGGTGTCCCAGCAACTGAATGAGAACTTTCTTTTCATCAATCGTAGGCAAAGAATGAGAGGACTATGTGAATGCAGCATTGTTTCAGCATACTTCAATGACAATCGGGTACAACCAAGAAAGTTGGATAAACTTGGCTTCTTTGATGGTCAAATCCTTTCATCAAAGCATACAATAGTAACAAGTACCCGAGCTGACTTCAAATCTGAAGATCATGACATAATAGGAACTAAATCAGAGGCCGTTGGATCGTCTGAGATGGCAAGCGAAGCTGTTTTATCACAACCATGGTGGAAGCAGTTTCCAAAGCGATGGGTGATAGTGCTGCTCTGTTTTGCTTCCTTTCTGTTGTGCAATATGGACCGTGTAAGTCTATTTTTTGCATATCAAAATTTGATGTATTTCTATGAAGATTTCATACTGTAATTTATATACTCATTGTCCATTGCAGTACATTATTCAGCGGCTTACACTTGCAAGTTGCTTGTAAAATTGAGATAAAATCATTTTCATCGGTTCTAATTTGTCCATTTCTATGCTTATAGGTGAACATGAGCATAGCAATACTTCCAATGTCGAAGGAATTCAACTGGAATAGTGCTACCGTCGGTCTAATTCAGTCATCATTCTTCTGGGGATATCTGCTCACACAGGTTTTACTCATTATATCTTCGCAACTTTTGAACAGGAATAAGGTTATTCCCATCTTAACATGTCCTTTGATCAAGCCTCTTGCAGTGAAATATTTTATCTAATGCATAGTATTTAACGGACACAGAAAATTCAGAGTTAAGCATGCAACTTTTGTTCAACTAAATTCTTTATCGCTTTTGTATGAATTCCAATTTAATCTCCAAAGTTATGGTTGTGATCGCTATGTTTATTATTCGATAGAACTTTTGAAATTTATACTGGTGTCTAGTGCTAGTGGTAAAATATCTTCAAATGGTAATTCCTAGAATTTAAGGGCATGGCAACTTATATGTTTGGGGCATACATTTCATAGCCCTATAGAAGCACATATCACTAGCGATGTGATCCTGGTAACACGTTGATAGAGACAGAGGCAGACCAAAATTAACATGGCCTGATGTGGTTGGGTAACATTTCATTACATTAAACTCTTTAGTAGATATAGCTGTAGAACAGAGGCAAGTATAATAGAGTTTCAAAGCCATATTTAAATTTAGTCTTTCATCATCTCATGCACCCCTCAGTGTTATAATTTTTAATGTTTTATCTTGGTCACACTCTTGACCTGGATTAGCCTGTTAGCTTAGCTATGTCATATCTTAATGCATCTGATTTATTTGCTTTTAATGATTACTTGTTGATTATAGTTTTCAATGGAGTCACTTTAGGACAGTTATCCATCCTGTACTTAGTTTGCTTATGTTTCTCTGTCAAGTAGATTGTTGGAGGCATATGGGCAGATAAAATTGGTGGGAAGCTAGTACTTGGTTTTGGAGTTGTTTGGTGGTCAGTTGCAACAATTTTGACGCCTATTGCTGCCAGAATCGGGCTTCCTTGCTTACTTGTCATGCGTGCCTTTATGGGCATTGGCGAGGTTAGCTGCATCTATGCTTTTCTATGGTTTCATTGAAGATTCTCTACTTAGAGTTTGATATTCTCTGTGTTCATGGAATGACATTCTTATTTGTACTTATTGCCCCTGTTTGGTTTAGATAAAAATTAGATTTTTAGTAGTTTTGATGGAATGTATGGTTAAAATTAATTGGTGACTTTGACTTAAATTTTAATCTTACTTTTTAGTTGAACCATACAAGGGCATTGTAAGTTTTGAGAGCATTATTAAACTTTCAAGTCTTTCGACAGAGGAGTCTTAGAGGATATTATTTCCATTGCTAATTGTTTAGAACTTGATAACAGCTATTCTACTATTGTATCTTTTCTTCTTAAAAGCTGTGATTTAATTCCTAGCATTTCAGTTTATCCGTCTGATTCATTTGATTATCAGTTCTGATTGTGACATGAAATTGTCCTGCATATATATCTTATTGTTCAGTTATTGCTCTCGTAGTATACCAAGTACAAATATATGATCAAAATGTGATTCTTGCTAGTGCATTCACCCACATGTCATGTAGTATATATGGAATCAAGCTGTTAATGTTATTATTTTATGAATATTTTCCCAGTTGCAATTTTCTGTAAATTCCTCATCTTATATGTTATGTTTAATATAAAAATGCAAGCAGTAAGCATCCTTGTGAGAGCATGCTTTTCATTCTAATGTGGTTCATTTTATAATCAGGGGGTTGCTATGCCTGCTATGAATAATTTGTTATCTAAATGGATCCCTGTCTCCGAGAGAAGCAGATCACTTGCTCTAGTATACAGTGGTATGTATCTTGGTTCAGTAACAGGTTTGGCTGTATCTCCTGTATTGATCCACAAATTCGGGTGGCCATCCCTGTTCTACGCTTTTGGTTCCCTTGGAAGCATCTGGTTTGCACTGTGGTTGAAGAAAGTAAGTGCTTTTTTTTTTTTTGGGCTGCATTAACATGATAAGAAGCACTTCTATTTCCAAAACCAGAGAAAGGAGGTAAATAACCCTGATATAATTCTTCTCAAGGTTGAACAGAGTTTTAAGAAAGTCAATATGTTCATGTAGAATTCGAAGCATCACAAAATTCTTTTTGAAATCCTAAATTTTAACTTGTAGGCACACAGTTCACCAGAAGAAGATCCAGAACTGAGTGCAGAGGAAAAGAAACTAATATTGGGAGGCAGCACACAGAAGGAACCTGTCTCTGAAATTCCATGGAAAAGAATTTTATGCAAGGCACCTGTCTGGGCTCTTATTATTTCCCATTTCTGTCATAATTGGGGTACATTCATTCTTTTGACGTGGATGCCTACTTACTATAACCAGGTATGCTTATCTATCGAATGATCTGCAACCGATGGAGATAATCTGTTTTGATAAACTTTTTGTCCATCTAGATGTTAATATCACTGGAAGTCTAAAAATGCAGAAGTAAATCATTTCTAACTAGCATTACAAATGTGCTTTTATGTGGGAACATGCATTTTTTATTAACATGTCTATTAAGATGAACTGTTTCAAATTTCTCCCGATTAATGTACCAGTCAATTATCCAGTGCATACCCCATGGCAACCGTGTACACAAAGTTGAGTTACTGTTTATCAAAAAAATCTAAGGTGTTGATTGTTATTTCAATACAACTAAAGAGAAAATATGACAACAAGGGAGTACATTATATGACTACAGCAAAGTGAGAGGTTCTGCAAAAAGATCTTTGAACCATTCTTTACTTGCTTTCCTAAATTTTTTATCAATGTGGACATTCTGAACTTCAGGGTTAGAACCAAGAAGTTATTTTGTGTTACCTTTCCATCATATTATGATTCATAACTACCAAGGAGTTTCCATTTATCAAATTTGAGCATGAAATCTTTGTTATAAACAGTTCCCTCATTTATCTGCCATATGCTAATATTTACGTGTTGATCAACTTCTCCAGCATCTCCACTAGTTATCTCTTCTTGGGGCATGTAAAATTGAACTAGTTTTTCGAAGTAGACTCCAAATTACATGATATATCAAGAGACATAAGGGTGGAAATGCTCCAGTGGATGTGATTCCGGGGTTCAAAAACTAAGCTAATCCAGCAAAAAAACTAATTATTTTTCATTTGATTGTGATGGTTTTCTTAGGTGTTGAAGTTCAACCTCACTGAATCTGGACTGCTCTGTGTGCTTCCATGGCTGACCATGGCTGTGTTTGCTAATATAGGTGGTTGGATTGCAGACACCCTTATCAGCAAAGGTCTTTCAATTACATCAGTTCGTAAGGCAAGCATTTAATTTTTTTTGAATCTCTGAATTAGCAAGCCAGCTTTAATGGTGTTAAATCGTGCTGTCAATATATTTACTAGAAGTCTCTGCCTGCTTGAATTTTTTTTCCAAAGGTTAAATTAGGCAGACATTCTATGAAGCAGGGACACTCCTAGTAGGTCGGTGTGTACTCCAAATAGCCACATACTGTTTCCTATTTTTTAAATATATTTTTTAATTTTCCAATGCTCAAGGATACTTTAAGTACACTCTTCGGGCAAGTGTTTGACATGTCCTGTGCCGTGTAATATGTGAAAGGCATAACAAATTCAGTTTTGCTATACTTACATCATGGTTGACAGCTTTGTTAACACTCCATGATGTGACACACAGTTTTGTCATTCATTTTAACAACACAACAATCAATGGCCTTGATTTTTACACATCATGGAATGTCATCCATGATATATAAAAGTGATCTACAAGTAGCTTAATTCTAAAAAAATTATTATAAAATGCTAAAATTTTAATGAATTTAGATCGACGCATCCCCAACATCTGTGTCCTACTTTCTAGAAAATCCCGTATTGCCGTGTCCACGTTCATGTTCGTGCTCGTTTTCATGTCTGTGTCAGTGTCCGCATCGCGTGTCTGCGTAAGTGCAGCCTAGCAGACAGTATTATGTCTGATATTTCATGGTCAAATGTTGGTATATCATATCTTCCCCATTCCTGGAATGACTCTCCGTTACTGCTACAGATAATGCAGTCAATTGGGTTTTTAGGCCCTGCTTTCTTTCTAACACAGCTTAAGCATGTGAAGACACCTGCTCTAGCTGTGCTATGCATGGCATGCAGTCAGGTATGAGCTGTTTTGTTAACACATAATTTGTCTATTTTCTTTGAATCGCATAACTAAATATAAATTGTTTGTGCTTCTTCCAAAGGGATCTGATGCATTCTCTCAGTCTGGACTGTACTCCAATCACCAAGATATCGGGCCTCGTTATGCTGTGAGTTATTTCTTATCTTTCCATACAGCAAAAAAGGTGTATGATATACAAAATATCCACCTGGTTCCAATCTGTATCTATCTTAGAAGAAAAGAGATTTTTTAATACTTTTTGAGAGTTGAACTTGCAAGAAACCTGAAGATGTGATGTCTTTTGGTCCCAAATTTGTCTTTTACCTATCATGTCAATTTTGGTTTCATAAATTGTTATAGCTAGGATTTGGATAGATTTTCCAATTTTTGGGAGTCCTTTTCACTAAGTAGCCGACTGTTTCCCACTTATCATGCTGACAACAGTATACTATGTTTTCTTTTTACCTTAAGTTGAAAAATGTGCTTCTATATTGCAGGGAGTACTGTTGGGACTATCTAATACAGCCGGTGTACTGGCTGGCGTATTTGGTACCGTTGCAACTGGATACATACTCCAAAAGGGTACAACCAAACCCCGTACTTCATTTTTGTGCATGCTCGTTTTCTGCATTGTAATTAAAATTGACTCCTGGTTTCTCATTTCGATTGATTCTTGAATTATAACTTTGCAGGTTCATGGGATGACGTGTTCAAGGTGGCTGTTGTACTGTACATCATAGGCACATTGGTGTGGAACTTCTTCTCCACTGGAGAGAAAATTCTGGACTAGATTGCCAGGAAACTAGAGGAAGATCTGCTAGATAGCTACACAGATACAGCAAAAAGACACGATGGGCATAAAAACAACAGCAATGAATACCTACGGGAATGAAAAGGAGGAGCAAGTAAATAAGAATAGAACACAAATATTTACGTACTTTTTACCACGTTGGATCGCCTCGACTGTTGCTCTTGATGACTCTCAGATAGGGGAAACATCCCACAGGTTGCTTTGATGCTTCCTACACTAAGCTTATGCCGGGATAGTCAAATCTGTAAATGTTAATGGGAGAACTTCCCGACTAGTGTTTTCTTTAACTCATAAGGTGCTTCAATACTGAACTTCCCGACATTTTGTTCTGTGGAGAATATGATTTCTGTTTTCCTTACATTTTTGTTGGTGTGTTTCAATTGATAGATAAGCTGGAATGTAATTAATTACTCTTTGGCCATCTGCTTGGGCAGGGCCGGTTACCTGAAAATTGCAGACTGTGCTAGTCCTCGGCCGAGGGGACCCACACAGACCGTTTTATATCTCTAGATACAACAGAATGGAGGTTGCTAAATCAAATTGTGATAGATTTGGATTTGTTGTATTCCTTGCAATAATCGAAAGGCCTATAAGATATTACTGGCCTTTAACTAAAGAAAAATGACAAAAGTAGGCCATGCTAGTAAAATTAAAATTTCCCAGAATGCAATTCCATAATGAGCTGCTTAAATAGTTGCAAAGATGTACTTCTCTATTATTACCAAAACACAAAGTCAGACTGCCTATGAGCAAGGTTTAAAAAGGCGGAACTAAGTACTGAGGCGAGGCGTAAGCCTCGAGGCGGTTTGAGGCGTAAGCCTCACAACAAACAAAAAATTAAAGTGAAAAATTATAAAATAATACAAAAAACCAAAGATGGAGCATATAGTAAATAGAATATATAGCCATTAGCATATAGAAATATAGTCCATCTAAATAAAGAAGATGTTTAGCAAAAAAAAAAAGAAAAATTACAAAAGTTAGCAATCACTCCATTTGCAATGGAAAAAAAGAAGCAGCTTAAACTAAAAAAAGGCCTAAAAGTCTCCGCTATCATCACTATTACTAGCATTGTTAACGGAATCATCATCATATCTAATTTCCTCATCATCTTCCTCTTCGCTACTCTCAATTTCTACAAAATCATCTTCCTCATCCACCAATTGTAATGTGACCGTCTCCTTCCCTATAAATTCAATAAAAAACAATGTGTTAATATAATTTCATAAAAAAAAAAAAATTTGAATTATAAAAGTATGAATACCTTTTCGTGAAACAGTTTTTTTCCTAATTGTTTGACTTTGTGTACGCGTAGAACTTTCAATCATAAAATTTAGACTCGGGTCGTCATCATTTACATCGCATGTGTTTGATGGAGCTCCAATATCGTGATCTGCAATCCATTCATCATCGGATGGTGTTTCCTTCATAATCAAAGGATCTTCACCCTCTTTAAGTGACTTCAATCGCCTATGTCGATCTTTGAGCTTCTTGTTATAATTGATGTAAACCAAAGTATTCAATCTCTTTGTTGTTAAACGATTCCTTCTCTTAGTATGCACTAAATTAAATGCACTCCAATTGCGCTCACATGCGGAAGATGAGCAAGTAAGACTTAAAACTCTCGTTGCAAACTTGGTTAGTTCTGGAGTACCAAAGCCAAATTGAGTCCACCAAGCAACTGGATCAAAATTAAGAAAAAAAATGTTACATACAACTTTGCAACTATTAAGTATAGGCTAATCATTTAATACATACCAGGAGACCGCTTAGTGAAAGTTAATTTTGCTGGTTCGAGACCAAAGAAATTTTGTTTTTCAACAAATTGGTCTAACTGGAGATCTGCTCTCTCTCTTTCAGTTGGATCGGAAATGAGTCTCACCATGCAATTATACAAACCGGCCATAACTTCAGAATGCCTTGAAAAATTATCAGCATATTGACAACGAGGATTCAAATAATAAGCAGCAGCATGTAGGTCTCGATGCAATTGAAACTCCCACTTCCCATCTATGATATTCCAAATTTCCTTGTACGCCGCTTCATCTTCACCTAAATTTTTAGCTATTTGTTCCTTTGCATTATCCATGGCTCCATAAATAAATCCCATTGCTGGCATTTGTTCAGAATCAACAAGTCTTAAAACACTAACTAGTGGATTTGTGGTCTTCAAAGCATATGCAACACTTGGCCAAAAAATTTTATCTTTCAAAATGATTCCCCTAACCTGTTTCCCTTCCGCTTTCCTAGCCCAAGGAGAATTTATCCACTCATCAGAAGTGAACATAGCTCGTAGTGAGTTTCTCAACTCATAGATCCTCTGCAAAGTCAAGTAGGCTGTAGCAAATCTCGTAGCACCCGGTCGAACTATTTCCTTCTTTGCGATTTTTCTCATTAATGCCAACACCCATTGATGATTATAAATAAAATTACTGATCTTTTTAGCCTTAATCAATGCATGTTTGTGTTGTGGCAACTCCCCAAGTTTTTCAAGCATTAAGTCGATGCAATGTGCAGCACAAGGAGTCCAATATAAATGCTTGCGTTTTTCCATCAATTTCCTCCCAGCAGCTTTGTATGCACTTGCATTATCGGTCACAACTTGAACAACATTTTCTTCACCAACTTCTTCAACAACCTCGTCTAATAATTTGAACATGAAATCCGCATCTTTAATTGCATCAGAAGCATCAATAGATTTAAGAAACACCGTTCCATGTGGATTATTCACAAGAAAATTGATCAAGCTTCTATTTCTCATGTCAGACCACCCATCAGATAATATCGAAACTCCAGTTTTACTCCATGTCGCCTTTATATCTTCAACTATTTTCCCCGTCGATTCCTCTTCCTCTTTAAGAATCCACGTCCGGAGTTCGTAAATTGTAGGGGGCTGAAAACCTCTACCGTATGAACCAAGAGCCCGACACATGCAGATATATGAAGGAGATTCAACGGCATTGAAAGGGAGTGCATATTCAAAGAAGTATCTGCCATCTTCTATACAGACGCTAGATCGCTTCTCTTTCATCTACGCTGCATTCATCTTTGGATGTGTCTCATCATCACCACCAATGTTTGACACAAACCTATCCATTGGTCCTCTAATGCCTCTAGAAGAATCTTTTTCTGTATCATTCTTCTCATAATAAGAACCAAGCTCGACCATATCTTCAAATTGTTGTTGTGATAGTTGTCTTTTCATGTTTCCAGCATTCATATACTCAGCAATCTCTTGTTTAACTTCCGCCGGAACTCCAGGACATGGGGCTACATTCTTGTGAGTACATGCTAAGTGTTCCTTCATCCGCTTCACCCCTCCGGTAATGGCTTTCTGGCAAAACATACACTCGATGTAGACGTATGACTTTTTATCACCTCCTGTTTTTTCAATTTCTTTTCCATACTTCCAAGCTGGATCCGTTCGATTGTTCTTTCCCATCCTACAATACGAGAAAAAAATTAAGTAATGATATGATTACTGAAACTGAAACTAAAAAAAAAAAGCTACTGATCTAATTTTTATTGGAAACTACCTACCTAAAATTTGCAGCAAAACAGGAAAAAAGACAGGTATAAAGCTAAGTTAAAAGAGGTGGATTGTCACTTGTACAACCGAGTCTATAAATGCTAAAAAGTAGACAAATTTTAACAGCATTATTATATTTCTACGGCACTATGAGAATACATGAGGTGAACTGGTGAAGTGATAAACTTGCAAGCATTGAGATGGTTTGCTAACAGCGTATTACCAGCAATCAAAACCTTCTGTTAGTCAATAAAAAGTAGTGTTAAAAATACACAAGAAATCCAGCTTGACTGCTTGAGAACTAATTTTTTATTTCAGTAATATCCTGCTCAGTAAAAACTGTCTGTCTGTGTGTCTATTTTGTCTATTTTCAGGTAAAAAACTGATCTTTACCTTCCTGAAAATGAAAGCCCCTGGCCCCTGCATGATTTTATATGCTACTGGACATTGCTCATAATTTTTTTTTCCATTTTTAGCAGAGTTAGTCTAATACATTTGATCAGTACAGGAATAGCTGTCATCTTTGAATAAAGACAGATAATTTTATGTCATCTTTGAAGACAGATAGTTTTGTCTGAACCCTAAGAAGAAGTAGGAGAAGAAGAAGAAGAAGAAGAAGAAGAAGAAGAATAATACCTGATGTCTGATGAAGCCGGCCAGAAGAATGGAGGATGAACTGATGAAGAAGCCGGCCAGAAGAATACGTGACTTTTAAGTTCTCTTCATTTTCTGGCTGGGAATGTGATATATCATTTAGTTTTTTAGGTTTTTTTTGGGCCCACAAAGCCTTTTTAATGGGCCCTTTTTTTTAAAGAAGTGCCCAGTCAGATTTTACTAATAAATCTGAAAACAAAAAAAAAATCAGGTGAGGCGCACGCCTCATGCACCATGAGGCGCAAGCCGTGAGGCGTGCGCCTCAGTTATAGAGGCGTCTGCCTCACAAATTTTGCCTCAACAGATCCGCCTCGAGGCAGTATATATGCGCCTCATGGTGAGGCGCGCCTCACGGACGCCTTTTTATAGGCTATGAGATATGATTGCGGTTTATGCAACAATTACATGAATTTTTTTCGCCTCTCCATCAATTGTTACACGAAGATTGGGGCTGTGTAGTTAAAATTAAAGTTTGACCGGTTGAAAAGTTGATAAAAATTTTAGAAATTTTTTAACAATTAAGCGCTAAAGGTGCGTTTGATTGCAATGGTGGAAAATAGGTAAAAAGAAAATGAATTTCAGGGAAAGTAAGGGGCCGTTCTCTTCGTTTTTCAGTTTTGTATTTTGAGTTTTCAATTCGTTTTGAGTTTTGTGTTTTGAATGTTTATTTTGAAATTTTTGAA